CACCGAAGCGGGGCGCAGAGGCCAGCTCTTGGAGCATTCCAGTTTGACCAGGCCCTTCGAGAAGGCAAGAGCCTTGCCGGAACGTCGCCGACATCGACCCGGCCGAGCTGCATGGAACAACTCGACCTCCCTATGTATCATCTGGCGGCGGGGGTGCTGTTGTGCCTCGCCCAAGTTCCACGTGGTCTTCGCGGCCTGCTGGCACCTGGCAGCTGTTGATGAGTCAACCCTGCACCGGGACGGCGACGGACGCGGACAATCGGGAAAAACCACGTCGCCGGCTCCTCTTGACACAAAAGTCGTTGGCCAAGCTTTTGTCAGCCGCCGAGAGCGACACTCCGAAGCAGCGTCGACCCAGCAGCTGTACGGGGTATTCTGCCTTGCTTGAGTCAACCTGGCTGCATCAGGGAGCGACTTTGCGCATGGGATTCCACGTCATCTCACTGTGGTGCCACGCTGGCGCGTGGGGTCTCCCTCACCAAACAGCGAACTGGGCATGCCTTGCCCCCTTTCCTAGGTTCAGAGGGAGGCGGTGTTTGGCTTTCCCTCTTCGGGGACGGAGAGGAAGACGACGATCTCATTGGAGTATCCTGCGCATAAATTTTCTTTGCAAGGGATCTTGGGAAGGCGGACGATGTATAAAAACGCTAGCGCAGAGGCGCTCGTGTGTGATTCTCTTTTCATGTTGTACCACGCTACCATGTAATTACTGTATATAAACATTTTTTTCTCCTTCTCCGGCTTCTCTACTCGTCCTCTCCGGGGACTCGGATGGCCCGAGTCCGCACCACGCTACCCAAAGGCGCAACACACCCTAACACGATTGAAAGTTGAGCGAGCCGGTAACCTTTTCAAATGATTTCATGGCGTTTGAACTGTTCTCATAAGTTTGGTGTTCTTTTTGGGGTGTGCTTGCAAATATTACTGTCGCTGTCTTGAATATTTTCTTTTCTTTTTGTTTTATGCACGAAGGTGTGATTATAAAATTGTGTTATCTATAATTAACTGCAAGAATTCGCTTAAAGTGGTATTTTTGCTTGCTGAGCAAAAATTACAAATAGAAAAATCGGTCTTCGTGCTCACAAGGCTCAGGATAGTATGTTTTGACTGCATGTATTCGCCCGTGATAATTCGCAAGCCGCTTAACTGCTACAAGTCGTATACATCCCCTCAGTAATATATATATATATATATATATATATATATATATATATATATATATATATATATATATATATATATATATATACACTGACTCAATGATATGCACTAATAACAGCGATTCCGTTCGCATTTTATGAGTAGATGTACATGCAAGTGCGTTCAGAGATGTGTAGTATTTTGGATTTCATTATAGTCAAAATCGGCATCTTTTTTTTATTAGATGCTTTTTATAATTGGATCCCACGGCACCAACGAGGACAGGGCGACGAAACAGCAATCACACTCAACGTAGAGACTTTTTTCATAGTGTTTCGCGGACCCGCGTAGGGTTCTATAGGATAGCTTGAAAGGACCTGTAGCGGCAATCAAACAACACGATCGCCTGCCTAAAGCTCTACAAAACCTAATTTGCATATGCATAGGTATATCTACGCTGACTTCAAGTGGGTTTAAATGTCATTGGTGCATTTGCACCTGTTGGCTAATTAGAATAGGACAGAAATGTTGGGCTCCGACATATTCCATCTTAGTTTATTCTCGCTCTATATGTGATCTAACCGTCCATTCTACAGGCGCTGCCTTCACTTTTTAATGTTTCGCTAATTAATTTGCTTCGCTAGATGCGTCACTAAATGACGGGGACATTTATAATGCGCATCAAAGTACTGTGTGTCGAACTTCGAGAACTTGAGCTGGAATAACGTTAGATGTACGTAAAAGTATACATTCTATGCCTCAATAGTAAGTACATCTCTGCACCGCTGTTCGTTTCGGCCGGCCAGGGAATCGGACATTTCCATTACTGTTTTCTAATACACGGTGTTCCGCATTTATAAGTTGCTTTAATAAAGCTAACATGTTGTGCTTTAAAAAAACACGAACATATCCACCCCCAAAATATAAAAGTGAACAGTGATGTCTGCAGCTGTGCACCGTGCACACAGCCAGCAGCCGAGTCGCCTCGCCGCCAGTCAGGGTCGATGCGTTTTTCAACACTCTAATGCGCGAAACATCCGTTTGCTTATTCAGACGCGTACTTGGCACGTCGACAATGATTTGACACGCCGACAAGCCGAGCCCCTAAGGAGTTTCGCCCCTAGAAAAAAATCTGGATGAATTTAGGGGCCACAGAGAAGCGCTCGTTGTGCGCACAGAAACTTACTGAAGATGCATGCTCAAGCCTAGCTCAACACTATTTTAATCCCCCCCCCCCCCAACGACACGTGAGGCACCTGCGCTCCTGTATATGTTTCAGTACAGATGGAGTTGGTGTGTTTCGAGATTGCGATAGCAGCACCACTCGAGAAACTTTCGTTCACCGCAATTATAACTCTTTAACAGAGAACCTGGAAGTGTACCTTTGACAATTGCCACAGTAAGAAAAGACTCTATTTCAGATTTCAGGTGAAACAAAAGCGCTTACATTTAAATACTAACTTTTATGAGGTTGTGTCCAACTTGGAAGAATAATCATATGAAACACGCCACCTGCCACGGGGAAAGAAACTGTTGAAAATGTGTGAGCTGTTCGCCAAGGTTTTGTTCCCCGGCAATTTAGCTGCAGTTCCGCCGGCGAACAAAACTGGAAGTCGTTCAACCCTGTTCACTATTTTGTCGTTTGTGAGTTATGTGCATTTGTTGTTGCATTGATCAGACTTCTGCTGATCACTATATGTGAAAGCGTTAGTGTTTGTGATGTACAAGCGTGAAAATGGGAATGTCAACCTGAACACTGATTTGTCACACTTAATTTATGCTCTTTACATAGAGTAAATAATTTTTTTTTTGAAACAGCATCCGTGTTTGTAAATTACAAAAAGGTATAATGTGAGACGGTAAGCAATGCGTGACTAGACAAAACTCGTCACAACCAGCACAGTCGCTGTGATGCAGGCAATGTTCCGAGGACATCGCTAGCCTGGTTATAGTCTCCATTGCTCCAGCCCCGATTCCCGCCGTGCGAAGAATGCCGGAAGCTCTTGATATGATTCGGGGGTGAAGTACATCGCGGGAGCCATAAGCCACGCACGACGGATTGTCCACGTGCTTGGCATGGCCGTGTGTTAGCGTTAGCGCGTCAAGGCAGACTCGGTGAGCCTCATCTTGTGTAATTGAGCTTTAGGCGCAGCGTGGAAATGCCCTCGTACCCGGAGAACACGTGGAGGAAACGATCTATTTGTAACTCGCTCGTCGCGGTGCTTATTGATGAGCTGTCGACGGGTCAGCGGACGAGCGTCGCGTGGTAAAGCATAAACAGCGTACCATGTCAACGCTCGGACTAACGAAACAAAATGGGGGATTCTGGCTCACATCAAACCGATGTTTATTCAAAGCGCACTTGTACTATATATACAATTGCGTAGCGCATTATCATCGATGCCAAAAAATGCATAAAATTTAGATAATTCAATGCCGAGTACAGGAGAACAGAATAAAATTGGAACGATAGAAAGAAAGAGAGAAACAAAGAAAGATAGAAAGAAAGAGAGAAGAAAGAATGAATGATGAAAGGAAAGAAAAGAAGGAAGGAAGAAAGGAAGGAGGAAAGAAAGAAAGAAAAGAAGGAAGGAAGAAAGGAAAGAGAAAAGAAAGAAAGAAAGAAAAGAAAGAAGGAAGGAAAGAGGGAAGGAAGAAAGAAAGAAAGAAAGAAAGAAAGAGAGAAAGGAAAAAAGAAAAGAAGGAAGGAAGGAAGGAAGGAAGGGAGGGAGGGAGGGAGGGAGGGAGGGAGGGAGGGAAAGGAAAGGAAAGTCCACTAGCATTTTTAGCTCGCGTACATAAACCTTCGCTTGCTGTCGTTTTACCGGTAAGGGAAAGCCTGCTGAAGTTTTCTGGTCGGTCGAGCGCTTGGGTGCTTTCTTTCGCTCTCAGTGAATGACCCTACGTTCATATGGGAGCTTAATATGAGAGTATTCAGCTTAAATTGAGGACGACGCAGCGGGCGATAGAAAGGTGTAACTTTAGGAGACAAAAAGAGAGCTGGGTCGGTCAGAGAACAAACCAGGGTTCAAGGATATCATAGTTAAAATCAAGAATCAAAAGTACACATGGGCCGGGCACGTAGCACGTAGGCAGAATAACCGCTGGTTATTGCAGGTAACTGACTGGATTCCAGAGAAAGCCAATGCACGAGGGGGAGACAGAAAGTTAGGTGGGCCGATGAGAATAAAGTTTTCAGGTATGACGTGGCAGCAGAAAGACCAAGACCGAGTTGATCGGCGGACAATGGGAGATGCCTTTGCCCAGCAGGGGGCGTAATCAGGCTGATGATGATGATTATGAATGACACAGTATTTTATGAAGTCTCTTTGACATGTAGCGATCGATATAAAGATTTCTAAATAGCCCTACAATAGAGGATCCATAGTGGTGGGGGTCAAGTGCTATTCTGTTAACGATATCGAGTGCCTAGAAAAAAAGAAGTGCAAATTTAATCTTCGTATTTTCTTGTTAGACACATTATGAATCAGAAGTAACAGGCATTGATACCAACAAAAGCATAGGGAATGCTATTAGGTCACTGTAACGCAAATGTAAAGAAAAAAAGGGGGGCAGAAAGATAACTTGCCACCGGCAGGATCTGAAAAGATCGCCGTTTCAGATCCTGCCGGTGGCAAATTATCTTTTGCTCATCTGTTTCTTCAGAGTTTCATTACAGTTGCTTCTAATAACATCCCGTACACTTCTCTTGGCATAACTGTCTGCTAGTTTTCAATATTAAAAGTACATAGAGCGTTAAAAGCTGTCGTTCGCGAGCAGCGCGTATATGTGACCAGAGAAGCGGGATAGATTGGAGGTTACCGTGCACACACCTACTCATCGTAGTGGTAATCCTACAGATGCAGTTCCTCGAGGTGAGCCACCTGTCGTTCGTGGGCGGCTTGGGCCCAAAGGGCCGCGAGGGACTGGTCTACAAGAGGTCCGGTGGACACCATAGTGCCAGGGGCTGCGTCCGGCTCCACTTCCTCTTCTACCAGTGCTGCAGTAGGTGGAGAAAGAGGCGAGTGCACTCTTGTCCATTTGTAGTGTTATTGTAATTGTTGCTATTGCGTGTCACATTTATATGTGGTACGCGGTTAAATCAGCGCGAACGCAGGGACATGCTAGATGAAGGAAAGGGTGTGGGTCGTTCCCGCGTAGTAGTATAGTATTGTGTGGTGGACGCCGCTTGAAGGTGAAATTAACTTTATTTGTTTTTGGAGAACTGGTCAGACACTCCCTAAGAGGGGTCCACCGCAGTTTCTGGCCGTGCCCACGCGGGGACTGGAAGACCGTGGCCCTCCTCTCTTTCGCAGGCCTTCTAGTTAGTTTTAAGAATTGCTCACTACATGACGTGTGTATATGTCCTTGGAAATATTACTAGGTGGCGTCAGTGGTTTTCGTATAGAAATTCACAGCATATTCATGAAGTAAATATTGATGAGTGGGGCGAAGTGTCCGTTCGTTAGTCCGTCCGTCCGTCTGCCTGTCACTGACACACCGACAGGCAGACAGACGGACGCTTCGCTCTAATCATCATCATTACTCCGTAGGTATGTTGTGCATTGTTTATTATATACACAGAATCTTCTAGCAAAACTGTTTCATTCCTCTGTCAAAAGAATCCTGAAACGCCGTAAGTAAGACGTGTCTTTACAGAAGTAGTTTCATGTTCACTATGCATTGCTATAGGAGAGCTTGCACAAAGTCCATTGGTGGTTGACACCTACAACACTGCCCAACCTGGATGTATCGACGTTAAAGCTTTTTCATAAACCTCCATCCCGATGACTAACATCCGTCAGTATTCATTAAACGAACCCTTGTTGCCATAGACAAGTGTGGAACCACAGAAACAATGTGACAGCCAGAAAAACGCAACTGATTGGACGCTGAGCTTCGCCTAAGGTGACCTACTTGTGGCATGTTAATGTTATTGAATTTCATGGCCCGACTATAGGGAAACGCAATGCGTGTTTGTTCTAGCCAGTTGGCCGGCCATGCTATTTCACAAAGCGAGCGTAAGCGGCGAACCTGGACTTAGTACAGACGCAGGCGCATTGCTCTATGCATTGCAAAACTATATTGGGGTATGAATGAATGCTATGAGTGACACTGACGCCTCGGCTAAGATCGCCACCTGATGGCGTTGTTGGCGTTGAAAAAATTACACATGCTCCTATTACAAACGCGCTGAGTGAGAAGGACGCTTGGAAACGACACGTTGCAAGATCCATACAATCCCGGATACCACGGTCTTGATGCATCATGACACTTTACGAAGAACTCTCAGAAGACTGAGGTAGATATAAGAGGCGTATTTTAGGGGCGAAAGCTCCTGAGAGTGTAGGCATGTCTCTCGTCGTCCATCGTAGCCACTCCTTGCACTCGGAGCGCTCATTGGATGGTGCTACGGCGCTCCCTCCACTTCGGTGTCTAGGAGACAGGTGCGTTAGTGTGATAGGAGACGGACGGACGGATGGATGGATGGATGACTAACGGGCAAACAGAGAGAGACTGACGGACAGACAGACAGATAGACAAGAGATGGACGCCACATCTTTAAGGAACTTGACTTGAGATGGACGGACGGAGCAAGCTCCAGTGCCATCATTCACTTCGTGGATATGCTGCGATTTTAAAGACCATCATCTTTCTTGGAATACTTAGACGGAAAAATTTTGTTGTGCCGACTTGTCTGTTTGTCATCTGAAATGGCGAAGATCCAACCCCATCTGCAGCGCCCACCAATATTGATCTGGTTTCGGCGTTGATACTTGCGCGTATTTTCGTTTAGAGGAAATATTGCACGTATCCTAGGCACAACCTCAATCGTCAATATCTGTGGCGTGTTTCTTGAAACTGTAAAAGGCATACATAAGTAAACGTAAGGAACGGAGCGTTTGTTACGCTGCGCTGACAATGCAACGTTATATGCACGAAAAGGCGAGTGCTTCCTGTGCTTCGCTATTACGATACGGTAGTGGCACCTACCCGATACGGTAGTGGCACCTACCCGTCGCCTTGTGTTCTACAAATTGTGGCCCCCGGGACCTACGTGCACACGCCACGCGTTTGCTTTGTCGGAGGTCACTCTTTCGTTTTTCCAAAATTACTGCCAGATCCCACTCACCTATCTACTCGCGCGGATAATCACAATGAGTGCTCTATTCTCTCGCTTCAGAATCCATTTGCAAATTTTATTGTGCATAACATGAAACAAATGTTTTATTTACTGCCTCCAGACGCAATATATCATCTTTCGACGACATTGGCAGCTAAGCATGCAGGTATGGCACAAATTTCTGAAGGGCTAAAAGTACGTGACCATGGCGCAGCAGATACTGTGCGCGGCATCTATCGCCACTGGACTCGGAGGTCACGGGTTCAACTCCCGCCGACGGAAGATTTTTCCTGTGTTCGTGCGTATTTTTGACGTCACTTCCGTGACGCAAATCCTTTATAAGTATTGGTGGGCCTCAGCATAAAACACTAGCGTGTTAAAAAAACAGCCAGTTCCGCTTGGCGGACGCTGATGAAACTGTGAAACTGGTGCCGTGCAATGACGTTAAATGTAGTCAGATTAACTTGTAATGAAGTGGGTGACTGATGTCGGATGAGTGGCGGGAGCACTAGTGGATGTAGTAGCGAGTTGTGAGAGAGATTGAAACAGTGGTACATATCTGCGGTGGGATTTACCAACTTTGTGCAAGTGAATCTCACTACAATCTATGACGTTCCCCCTAACACGAAAACCTTGGCCAAGAAGAGCTTTGTGGTTGAAAAAAAGGCCGTACTTTGATTGTATCAATGGGTCGTAAATTTATGTTTTGAACCAGAAGGTGAATCGTTTAAACTACAACTCATACTTATGGCGGCCGCAATGTATTTAGAAAGCGTGGGTAACGATTTAAAGTACTAGGTACTCTACTTATGGGAGAGCATAAAGCCATCCCGAGGGCCTCACAGACTGTGAGGAGTGTTTAGAAAGAAATCGTTAACAATTTAGAGCACTTGGTTCTCTACTATAGGAGAGCGAAAAGCCGTCCAGTGGGCCGCCTCGAAAACACAAGCGCTGTGCCGCAGCTTACTCAAGAAAACTCACAGCATATCCACGGACTGAATGATAACGAATGGGTTGAAGTGTCCGCCAGTGCTTTCGTCTGTGCGTGCGTCCGTTTGTGCATCCGTCTGTCCAGGTGTCCCTGTGCGTCTATCCGTACATGCGCCCATGCGTTCATCCGTCCACACGTCCGTTCATTCGTGCATCTGTGTGTCCCTCTGTTCATCTATTAAACACTCCAGGTACCACTATTTCGCACCTTTTCATAATATATCATCGTATAGAAGTACTGCCATCAAGTAGACATTTCAACGACTAAACAAAAGGGGGGTACCTACTACCACTACGACGACGACTGCTACTAAATACATTGTGGACGCACGAGCCAGGACATAAGGAGCTGTGTTTAGAAGTGGTTAACAATTTAGAGGTCGAGGTACTCTGCTTGGGAGGGCAGAAAGCTGTGATGAAAATGGAGGTTGTGCTGTGTTTAAGAGAACTTTATTTCTGAAAGAAGCATGCATACATGTAAGGCATTCATGTTACATTTTTTATTCTCAAGACATTGCCATTATATCCTAATATACATTTAAATGCACAGCAGGAACTGTTTGTACCTGTAGACAGAAATTCCTTCGTGAACAAAGAAAAGTATGTGCAGGGGTACGTACACTTCATGAAAAAGTACAAAAGACAACCTTATAAAAATGTGTATGTGAATAAATAAACATTTATACAATAATAAATGCAAGTTCAGTGAAATCACAAATGCTAGACTACCTTTTCAGTAGTGAAGGCAAGGCATGGACACTTTGTTCTTTCTGAGAAGAATAAATCGTGTTGACTACCACAGGAGGAAGCCTTCCTCCCCCAGAATGAATAACTGTTCGTTCAGATGTGTCAACATCATGGTTATTGAGCGATGTACATGGCTCTCTGAGGGCGTCCCAGCAGGCATTCCAATCGCCTCCGCTTCCGCATTACAAAACCAATAATACACATTATCATCTCAACAAAAATGTCTCTGTGCCGTGACTGCCATTGAATGCTGATTTGAAACATGCTGGTCACTAAACGCCAGAAAGTATGTGTCACAGGACATTGGTGAAGAGCATGATTTAGGGTTCCCTTCCGGCTGCATTATGGACATGAGGCGGAGGGCACCACATCTCGCGCGGCAAGGCGGCCGGCCGTTGGCAACGCCTGCCATTCTCTTAACCAAGTGAAGTCTCGAACTTCAACGTGTAGGTTCGTGGTTTTTATACACTGGCGTTGGCTTTTGCAGCATTTCTTGCGCGGATCATCGATTAAATTTTTCACAGCAATACATTCACATATTACATATCCATCAGTTCGTAGTCTGGTAAGTTATTTTGCAAAACATTCGGAGATTTCACCACGTACGTATAGTATGTCGGCAGCTGCTCAGCCACCGGCCCCGTCTCGTCTGCTAATCGAAAAAACACGGGAACTAAATTTCAGACAGAAGGTGTGGGTATTGCTTGCTGAAGCATCTAGCCATTTGCTTCGTAAAGAAGTAAACCTGCTAAAGCACTCGGGTTTTTAGAAAATTTACGGCGAAAAGTCTCGCTATAGCCTCAGCAAGGTTTCACACTGTGTATATAAAATGGAGCATTCAAGCTGAGCACTTGTTGGTTGTTAAGTGAAGAGAGCCTCGTGCATATCACAAATCATATGTGACATTCATTTTCTTCTGTGATTGTGCAGGTGGCTCATCGCGAAGGACACCTGCGTGTTGTACGTCCGCCCTCGCGACGGCGTCATCAAGTCGGTGCTCCTCATGGACCAGGGCTTCCAAGTCCAGTCTGGCTTCATGGCCACGGGGGTCAACCACGGCCTGCTCGTCACGAACCTCACAAGGTAGTGCATTCATGTGTCGGCCATGCTATGTTCATCTTCAGAGATTTCACTTGCTGATGTGCTTGACATTCAGCTGCACTTCCCAAAGACTTTCAGACCTCACAAGGTACTACCTTCATATGAGGACTACGCTAAATTCATCTTCACAGGTTTCACTTCTTGAGGTGCTCGGCACTCAGATGCACTTTGCAAAGCGTTTAGGACCTCGCAAAGTACTACCTTCATATGCTGTCCACGCTAAATCCAACGCCACACTTTTCACTTGTTGATGTGCTTGACATTCAGGGGCACTTACCGAAGGCGTTTCGGGCAACTGACTGCTTACACAGTACTTACTGCGCGTCAGTGTTGTACACGTTCTCTTAAAACAGTAATGTAAGCGCCTTCCTCTATCCTTCCTAATTTTGGAACGAGTTCCCATTACAACTTTCTTTAATGCAACAGGAACTTGTTACAGTTGAATTTTGAAAGGACGTGTCATTACGTTACCGTTACATTTGAATTTAGACGACATAAGGTCAACAATTTAAAGCTGAAATCTTACTATGGAAATTGTACGAATCAGACATCACTGACAGTAAGTTTTATGTAGGTGAAAGTAATACAAATGAACACTCCTAGGCGAATTTTTTAGACACAACCGGCCACACAAGAGGCATGTCTAACTTAGACTTTTTTGTCAGCTTATCACAAGTCCAATACATGTGGAACTTTCCACATCGGCCTTCTAACGGGCAGTCAGAATACTGTGATTTAGATATTAATTTACATATTGCTGCACATGCACGACTATCAGTAAATTTCTCGCATATAGAAACAACATTGAAAGATTAATACCAAAGCATCTAATGAGGCCTCATTCAATATTTCAGTATGAGTGAAAAATAATGTCTAGTCTACACATTTGCAATTTGTCGAAGTCCGTTGTTAGCAGTCAGCGAACACTTCTCGTATATTTCTTGCTTTTCGTTCATATATTTTTCTTTCTAATTCTCAATTTTTCTCTCTTTTTCATTTCTCTCTTTTTCTATAGGACTCTCTCCTTGGTTGTTCTCTTATCCCCTATCTTTTTCTCTGTTTATCCGCTTGGCTTCCATTCCTTTCTATCTCTTCCTCTCTAAATACTAGTTCTCCCCTCACTTCGTTTGTCCTCACCCAATGTTCCCTTTCCCCTTATTATATACAATAGTACACAAGGCTATGCTGTGTCATGCTTTGCTACCGTGGGTGCCTGTTGAAGAGAAACACAGTTTTATTAGCTTCCTCGACCACTCACTTCATTAGGATGGTCACTCAGCGAACAGATGTATTAAAAGCGAATGGAAGGCCAGCCAGAGTGGTATGTAATGTTGCTTTAGAGAGGTGCTTATCTTCACCACCATTCTAGCATATAATACCAAAACGCCGTTACTCGATGAATTCGCTCTAGAGTTGAATGCGAATTCTTCAGTGCTATCTATATGTTCGTCATTGTGCCGCAACACGAGCCGAGTAAACATGTTAATGGTCTGTCTGTACTGCATTTCTTCTAAATGTCATTCCATAAACTGTGGTCATACGTAAGGTGAAAAGATACCATGAAAAAAAAAGAAACTTTGACAGCCGAGTGGTTATGACACTCCCTTACGGTTCGCGAGAATGCGGGTTCTATTCTCGCCTGGCTAGGTGTTTTTTTTTTGCGCCAAAAATTGCTTTATTTCTCTTTCTTTCTCAATACTACTTTTCTCGTCCATCAGAATTTCTGCATCTCACTTCAAACAGGTCGCCGAACTTGTTTTGGGAGCGACGCGAAAGAGCACGACGAGAGTAGGCGTGGTGTTTCATTGTGATAATTTTGTTTCTTTGTATACACGATCAACGGCGAAGCTCTTGCATAAAAGTCCTGCTGTAATAAGAATTGTCATTACTCTCGCATGTTTTAAATGTTGGCGTTGTGCACTTTTTTGCGCCCTCGGGGGGCGACTTCAAGTGAAAACCAGGATGCACCAATTTCACGTAACTGGTTAACGGTACGTTTTCTGCGCCTCACGAGGTCGCCTGACTGCCTTGCTCTGCACCCATGATATGCCGCCTGCGTGCACCTATTCAATGCCGTGGCCCCGCCGTGCTGGTCTAGTGGCTAAGGTACTAGACTGCTGACTCGCAGCTCGCGGGACTGAATCCCGGCTGCAGCGGCTGTATTTTCGGTGGAAACGAAAATGCTGTAGGCCAGTGTGCTCATATTTGGGTACACGTTAAAGAACCCCAGGCGGTTGAAATTTCCGGAGCCCTCCACTACGGCGTCTCCCCTAATCATATCGTGGTTTTCGGACGCTGAGCCCCACATATATTCATATTCAATGCTGTGGAATGTTTACAGAAGTAACACCGTTCTTTCTGCCGTTCTCTCGAAGATGTAACGCGTTACCGGTACAGTTCCCGCAATCCTGAATGGAATGGTGGCGTTCCCCCGTTCCTACAAAAAGGAAGTACTTGAAACGTCATTTCTTGGAACGCCATTTTGTACAACATTGCTGCCCATGCAGGAGTTGGTACACTTCCACACGGCAGCATCGACCACGACCAAGCCGACAAGTGTTCTTTTGTTGACTATTGAATATTCTTTACTTTCTTTATTTCCCTCCTTTCACTCTCTACAGGAGAAGGCTTACAATAAAAGGTCACGTTTCTGCAGAGTGTTTTGAAAAGTCTTGGTGCGAATACCGTACCTTCGGTGGAACCTGAAGCGGTAGACACGCTTTGATCCGGAAAAGCAGTGTGGGAGCAAAAGGCTTTGTGGGAAGATATTCTTGCTATAATACCACTAGAATTTCATCTAGTTGAATTTCGTCTATAGAATTTCGTCTACTGACACTAAATCCTATTGCTTCATCTACAACTACTGTGCCATGGTACATACGAAGTTCCAACACAATAATTACATCGATTCCGTACACGTGTGTCGTATGCAGGAACCTCCTGGTGAAGTGCTGGACGAAGCGTAAGGAGCGGGAGTGGAAGGACCACCTGCAAGAGCTGGCCAAGACAACGGGACGGGACTTCACGCACCCGAACAGATACGATGCATTTGCCCCGATCCGCACCGCGAGTCGCTGCCGATGGTACGTATGTCCTCATCCACAGTAGGCGCCAAACGTTAGCTGCAACATGCTGCTGTGGTGAAAGCAATGTCTACACTACACGGTAGCTCTGACATAAAAACCAATTGTAGTATTCACACGAGGGAAAAAATCCTCGGAGGATAAGCGAACATCTTATATAACGTGCAAAGACGACATGAATTAGCGAGTAAAAGCGACCTTACCCATGTCTACCATAAAGAGACAGGAACTCATTCGTTCCCTACAGGACCAACAATCCCCCTCGGTAGGGGGAAAATCGCTGTTTGAGCAGGCTGCGAAGAATGACTTTTTTTTCCCCTTTGGGCTTCGAATATCAAAAGCACAAGAAATACTTTTACGGCCCAGCCTTCTACAAGCCACCTGAGTCATCTGTCACCCTCTTTGTTCATCTTGTCTGTGCATGATTAGGAGACATTTTAGGGGAAATATTCCCCTCGATGGTAAAGCAGGGGGATACAATCTCCCAAATGCTATTTACCGCATGCTTACTGGAGGTTTTCAGAGGCCTAGAGTGGGAAGTGCTAGGATGAGAGGTAATGGAGAGTACCTCAGTAACTCAGTAACACCAGGGTTAACTGGCGGAACATGGGAGAGGCCTTTGTCCTGCAGTGGACGTAGTCAGGCTGATTTAGGACAGGTGATAACCGCAGAGCCTAACCACGAGATTGAGGTAACTAAAAGAATAAGAATGGGGTGGAGCACATTTGGCAAGTACTCTCAAATCATGACTGGTAGATTGCCACTATCTCTCAAGAAGGTATATAACAGCTGCATCTTGCCGGTAATTAGCTATGGAGCAGAAACATGGAGACTTATAAACAGGGTTCAGCTTAAATTGAGGATGATGCGGCGAGCGATGGAAAGAAAAATAATAGGCCTAACCTTAGGAGACAAGAAGAGAGCAGAGTGAATCAGGGAACAAACTGGCGTCAAGGATATCATAGTTGAAATCAAAAAGAGGAAATTGATATAGGCACGTGCACGTAGGCAGGATAACTGGTGGTCATAAAGAGTAAGTGACTGGATTCTCAGAGAAGGCAAGCGGGTTAGGGGGAGACAGATAGTTAGGTGGGCAGATAAGATTAAGAAATTTACGGTTTTAAAGTGGAAGCAGCAAGCACATGACCGAGTTAACTGGCAGAACATGGGAGAGGCCTTTGTCCTGCAGCAGATGTAGTCAGGCTGATGATGATAATGATAATGATGATTCCCTCCAGTTGACGCGGCAAGGATCCTTCTTTATGACACAAGATTTGTTCCTTGTGAAAATGCCCCTTTAGGTTGTGTAAAGCGCCTTCTTTCTACATTTCTCAGTGTTGGGATGTGTCTATAACATGCACACTTCCAACACACGCATATGTACAGACGCACTGGCTGGATGACTGCAGGTACATCGACGGGTCGAAGTACTGTGAAGCGGTGGCCCATGCCATCGACTTGGCCAGAGAAGAGATCTTCATTGCCGACTGGTGGCTCACTCCCGAGATCTACCTCAAGCGTCCGGTGGTGCCAAACAACCGTTGGCGACTGGACCAGCTTCTGCAAAAGAAAGCTGTGAGCTTTTGCTGTATTGTGTCGGTGTTTGCACGATATCTCATTGCTTTCTTCGATTCTCCCCTTATTTGCTAGCTTCTTTGCATCTACTTCGCTCTCTGCCATCACAGTAGTTCTTACATTCTTTAAAGCATGCTCAATCGGCGATAACAGCCATATGCAAATATGCAGGACAAAAAACAGATCCTGGCAAACCAAAAGTAACGTTGAGATTTTTAACATGAAAGTGTCCTATATTGTGGTGCACGAAGACTTCTGTAAGGTATTTTCGTCGGTGAATCGTCGTAAACAATGTACATTGTCAGATCACAAAAAGAAGCGTTTGTCTCGGAAAATCGAACCCTACGACCTCTTGGTCCACGGCAACAGCTGCCGAGCACGCAATCCACTGCGCCACGGTCACTGACTGTAGCGTATTTTAACGTGCCTTTTATTTCTCACACTTTCGTGTCACAATGCTCTCTCGGTCAGTGGGTGGTGTTGCCCTTTTGCTACAGAAAAGTCAAGCAATTCATCATTGCGATCCACTATTAGCACCCTTCACATCTGATACTACACCTCTATCCCATTAGGCGCGTTTTCAATTCAAGTGCAATTTCGTCACCGCCTTAACGCATCATGAGAGGGTGACCTTAACCCGAGTGTTGGCCTCACTCATAGCGTTCATCCAAGCCGAAAACAGCACTAGATGTGCGCGTGTCTCACCTGGCTGTGATAACGATGCCTTCCTTGCTCATTCTTGCCCCACGAAAAATCGAGGCCGGGCTACAAGGGGACACGATGAGCATAGTGTTTTCCTCTGGTGTTCAGTCACACTTTAAATAACATACAATAGAATGGCGACCATAGCCCAAACTTTGCGTCCCATCAGCGACACTAATTGACTATCACACCTTTTTCTCTCATTGGGCTCTCGTCGTTAACATCTACAGCTACCACAATGATTTCTTTCAACATTTATCGTGGACGTTAGTCGTTGAAATGGACATGTACTACCAAGTGTAAATGTGGAGGCCTACACGTCCAACTGTGCTATAGCTGCCGATTGCCTATATACATTGTGCAAGCTCTCCTATACCAAGGTACAGTAATCATGCAATTACATTTGTGTGGTAACGTTTTGCTTTCGTGTTACACCAATTCTTATGACAGAGGAGTCAAGCACGTTTTAGGGGCGAAGCTCCTTAAGCCGTGGGTCGTGCGTCCCCTATGTATGTAATAGTAGTATTAGAAGTAAAAGTACTAGTAGAAGTAGTAATAGTAATAGTATAGGAGTGGTATGTAGCCACATCTCGTTTAGTCCTTGTAATATCCGCTGGATGTTAGTAATTGTATATGATGAATATATTAGGAAAATTTGCGAGATGGTGGTACTTGGAATGTTCACTAGACGGACGGATGGACGGACAGACAAGCCGACAAACGGACGATCATATCGACGTACGGATGGACGCACGGGTGGACGGACGGATGGACGATAGTTGGGACGGACTGATAGACGCTTCGCCCAACTCATCATCAGTCACTCCATATATACGCTGTGATTTTTTTAAGGCAAAGCTTCTAAAGGTGTGGCTCTGTCCAACCCATGTATGTACGTGACCGCCTATAGTTCTACCTTCGCAAACTGTCCACTGCTTCGTCCTTGCAAACATCACACTACGCCCCATCACAGATTCACCCCTTCACCGACCATAAAGCAAATGCTGTTGAGAAGTAGCCAATATGAAATGCAAGGTGGTCCTGCACTTGTATCCATATGCGGGTTAGCGAACCATAGATTGACCCACTGTGTCCATTCCTTGTTTGTACGTACGTGAACGTCTATAGTTCCACTTTTGCAAACTTCCCACTACTTCGTCCTCTCGAACATCCCACTACGCCTTATCAGCGATCCACTACTTCGCCCACCACAAAGTCGTTATAATGAAGGGGGAACGGAAGCAACGTATAGCTACCACTCACGAATAATAAAACTTTTATAAATATATACAGTGTTTGTCATGTCTTTGATGACGTAGTGCGTCATATTCCCGCATGGTTCATTTATTACATTGCCGTTTCGATTTATTCAGGCAAAGCATACTAGCACTACCTCTTCAAAAACTGGGCTTGCAATTATAACAACCTGATCTTCTTTCATTTGGGGCCTCTACACTGGGTTTCAGCCACAGAAATGTTTTATTTGCCGTTCAGGAATACATCACTGCGACTAAACTATTTTCTTGCTAAATTACGGCATCACTACTTTTTTGCGAATTTGCAAATGGCACTTCCGATCATATAAATAACAAAGGTTATTTAGGAATGACGCAATGCTGAAAGTATCGGGCGAATTCACCTTATAATCGGCCGATCCCCTCCTTTGGGTACGAGCCATTTGCAGAAGAAAGCAACAACAACAACCCTCCAGCACTTCGCCCCACCCATCATCATTCACTCCGTGGATATGCTGTAATTTTTTTTCTAGTTTCCAGACTAGCTGTAACACAAACCGCATCCAGAGATTACCTAATTAAAAGTTAGAGAGTCCGTCTAAAATTTTCGGGAATTTATTAGCACGTTTGTAAAGACAAATGCTTGTCCGCTACGGTGCACTTACTACTGTTCGAACCTAACTCTAGATAGCAGCCGAAACATGACCTTTTCACCAGACAAATCACCGTAGGGGCAGTACTAGATAACAGTTTCGGCGTTTTCGAATTTGGCGTTTATTTTTGTTTGTTTAAACCACTCTGTCCTAACTGCGGCAGAAGGGAGAGGGCACAGCATGCAATGTGAAAATGCTCGGTGGCGAAAGGTGTCTGGCACATGGCGCAACCCCTCTTTGGCTTTCGCACAACCCGCATGGAAACAGGAAGTGGACTGTTCGTATGCCTGGGCTTTACAGTGACCTTGTATATACTGTGGCAGCGACGCTGTTTAGCGGGCCTGTGGCGGCTGCATTTTCGATGGAGGCGGAAATGTTGTAGGCCCGTGTGCTCAGATTTGGGTGCAGGTTGAAGAACCCCCAGGTGGTCAAAATTTCCGGAGCCCTGTACTACGGCGTCTCTCGTAATCGAATGGTGGTTTTGGGACGTTAAACCCCACAAATCAATCAATCAATAAAATCTGTTTAGCGGGAGTAAGCTGCAAGCGTTTTATTGTCACCTATCCCAAATTCCAGAAATTACGCTTTATTTTGTGGAACTACCTCGATGAGCTATTGAAAACGCAACCCAGCGTTAGAAGAATAATGTGTTCTTTTTCTACCAATAGCGTTGTTTGCCGCACGTGGCGTTTTTCTGTCGCGATAAATGCGGTATGCGTTTCCAGCTGTAGTAGCTAGTGAGGACGGTTAAAAAATTACTATGAAACGAACAAAAAAAAAACAGCGTTCTCGGCGCAGCGTTGGTGTTTCACGTGAAATCTTCGGGTGGGCGGCACCGGTGGCGTTTTCTGTGCACCTGTGCGGTGCCGTACGTTCGACTGCACAGCACGCGTGTGGTGCCGCATGTTCGGCAGGGCCGGCCACGACACGAGCGCACGCCATCGCGGCACTGCGAAGTTCGACGGTGCAGCATGGTGCAATCTCGTCAGCCCGCGTACGCTGGCAGACGACGTAGTGACATTTCAACATTTCATGCGTATTTTTCTGCTGGTGCTACCACCGAACATAGGCGGACAGGACGGAAAAAACGTACATGCGCTTACATCGTTCGACCGTACTCGCACAAGACTACTTTGGTGCCAGAATTTCTCTTGACGCCGAAGGCGTTGCGAAAATTGCCGTAACCCTAGTTGAGTTAGTATAGAACGAATGCAGCACAACCACCTGAAAAGCGGACGCGCACCCACTGGACACGTAGCCTCAGGCAAGTGTCTTTCATTGTGTGGTTTTCCGTCATTTGCTATTTTATTCCCAGCACCAACAAGCCACGGGAAATTTTTGTCTGTTGAATGGCGTCTCTCGCATATGACACTGCTGTCGTGCATTCGAGTCTTGTGGTTCTCCCCTTCGTACGGCCCGTAGCAGGCCGTGAAACTCGGGCGGTGTTTGACGTACCTTCTCTTCCACCGTCACGATGCCAGTGCACCTCAGCCGAAGGTGCCAACAGCGGTGCCTCGAGCACACATTACCAGATGTTCTTGAGAGGCGCCCAGCAGGAGAATGGTCGAGAGTGAGGCGCCAGGGGACGGGAAAGTAGGGCGCAAAACGAGAGAGTGAACGTTGAGAGGAGGAGCAATGAGGCACTGCACCTGCCTTCTTTTACACTATCTCGCACCACATTCTCCGGTTGCTAGGGGAGAGGATAAGTGCGTGTGCCCGCAGCTGTTGCTATGGGTGATGGAGTGAGAGTGGCGAGGTAACACCTCCTGGCGCGCGGACACCGCCGCGGATAACGCCGGATGTCTGACATAGTCCGACTAAAAAATGCATTCGCATTTGAAACTTCCCTTCAACAGTGGCTGTGTTCCAATTCTCAGACAGCACGTCGACGGTCTACACTGACTGCTCAGAAGACAGCACCGAGTTCATGCTGTCCGAGAATCGGAACACGTCTGGACGGCTTTTACGTGACGATGCACCACCTCGGATTGAGAAGAAAAAGCTACAATAAACAAGCATAACAGCTGTATTTTCTGGCTTATTTCGTGTTGAAATCGAAAACAAATAAACGTCACTCACATTGAGCGTCTGGAGAAGCGTCTGCTTGTGTGCAGACGACCATTCCAGCGAGATCCTATCTATCTGAGCGATTGGCTGAGCCGCCATCTTGTTTAGACAGCAAAGTAGCCTGCATCGTATTTGCCTACGATGCGGTCTTTTCGGAGCTGTCTGTTTTGCCGGCTATGTAAAAATTGGAATGAGACTTAAGGTGGTCGGCGGCTTTTTAGCTGTCAAATTAGTTGTCTACGGTGAGTATTGGAACACGCCTAGTATGACCAAGAAGGTTTACCCCTGTATTCAGAAACGCTCCTTGGCTTGAACTTGACTTGAAACCGCCTTTAAAACAGCGCGTTTGAAATGCGTTTGAGCTGCCTTGGGACCGCCTGAAGACAGCGCGTTCGAAACGCGTTCGTGCCGCATGGAAGTCGGTGGCAAGCCAAGCCAAGCAGTGTGTCTGAATACGAGGGTGAAAATTTGGAGTGGAAGATTTCACTATGTCTCGGCAGTGGATGTAAAGCCAGCATTTGCATAGAGTCTACCTCAAAACATGGCTTTCTCGCCTTGTATCAAACCCAAGATACAGTGTTTTTATTCAGCTAAGATCTAACCAGCCTAAACATGGAATAAAAGATCGCTGCTCCTTGCGAAAGTAATAAATATATATGAATACATGTGGCTAGCTGTTTACTAATATTTTCCAAGACTTTGAGGCTTTTTAAAGAAACCAGTAACACTCGTGCACATGTTGAGCAGTATGTTTCCAGGGAAGTTACAGCTAATTTGTCCTACGTGTCAGCCGAACACTGTTCTTCCGGTGCATTGTTTACTGCGGGCTCATAGTAGAGTACCAAGTATTCTAAATCGTTCATGACATTTTATAAATACACGTTGTTTTGTCGACACAGCCTTATGAAGTGTGAGGCCACGGGACGGCTTTATGCGCTCCCATAGTATACACTAAGTATTCTGAATTGTTAAATACTTTTTCTTAACAAAATTACTGTGCCTTGTTGGTCGTCTGGCTTCACTTTCAAAATATTATTTCTACTCAAGCAGGTTTTTCAAATGCGAATGCATTTCTCGGTCAAGGGTTGTTGAGCGTCCCTGGTCGGCGTTCTGTGCGCTCGCCGACCAGGGACGCACTACAACCCCCGACTAAGAATCTCGCAGCGCGCGCTCCTTCTTGCCCCTAGCAACAGTTGCGCAGCGCCTAGCAACTGGAGCAGTGGGTGAGTGGTGGAGAGTAAGGGAGAGGAGGAGTGCGCGGGCGTGTGATGGCGCTCGCATCGCGGAGCAGCAGAGGCTAGGGGAAAGTAGGGTGCCTTGATGCCCACGCGCTCCGGGGGCGCGCGCATCGAGGCACTCTAGGGGAAAGGCTGAGCGTACCTGGTGAGGGCGCTCGCATCGCGGAGATCTCTCGGCGGAGACAGAACTTGGGCGCTCCTGCTCTCCGCACTCGGACCTATATATAACATGCACAGAGCGCATGCTGTGGTGTCTTGATAGCGATGTAAGTCGGTGACGTCGGTGACGCCGCAACAATACCACTTGGATGAAGTGTAACACAATGAAACTCGAGCACTACGCCTCTCCCTGGTGCTGGCGTCACTGGAGTTGCTTCAACGTAATCATCGGTTGGAGAAGAAGACACTGCTGCGAAGCGAAGAGCGTCTAATGCCGAACGCATGCGCTTGAAGCGAGTCGCCCATAATTATGCTTACGTGCACACTCTCGTCTCTCTTCATTATTTAATCGCACACTCATCGGGTGCACCCAAATGCAGTCGCATTTCCTCACAATCCCCTCCGGGGAGTAAATTGTGGGATTGGGCTAGTTGGTAAGGCATTATTGAACTTCTCAGCGCAAAAACTTCCGACAAGTAACACAATAAAGGAGGACGAGCGCCTTCAGGAAGCTGCGTTTTTTTTAATCCTCCTTGAGTGTATTATAGCTCCACACCTAACACGAGAACTTGTCGATTATTCTGCTTAGGTGTCGGTGTCGCATGTGGCACGTAACAAGTTGGTAAGCTAAGTTTGTGTGTCTAGAGTTGTCGAAACAGTGTTGACATGAACCGGTTCTACGTCTTCGTGTAGTTCAATCAGGCTTTTTTCTGCACTGTGCTTTGTACGTATTACGGAGCTCACATCTCGTTTGTATGTTTCCTCCCATATATAGTCTACAAAATATAGTAACTTTATGAGGCCGGTCACAACTCAGCTATAGTCAGTCTCCATCGGTGGTCGTTGTTCGGTGGTGACTGCTGCTCGGTTCTTGCGCAGCTAGGCGAGATCAAACCCAGGGGTGCACGACTGTGGCTTGGTTATTGCTACGCAAAGGCGCGTAGGGTTTTTGTGGACAGCGAAAGTCTTACCTCGAGCTTTAAAGCTTTTCTCCAATAAAATGCTAGCTCCACCCCCTGAAGTGTGGTGCGCCTACCGTTCACATGTGCCAGGGAGTGTTTTCTGCTCTTTACCATGAGTACTTTTTCGCTGGAAATGTAGATTTTGCATATTGAAAATTGAGAGATTGACGTACGTATATTCCTTAAATATTACGTATGGGTCTGCCGTAATATTGAAATCATTCTAAACTTTGTCAGGGGAATCTAATTTTTGACTGGAAACCTGCAAAACCAGCTATATGGACATGTGTCTGAAAAGAAATGTCACTGACTAAATACGCAACACGTGATTTACGTCACTTCAACAGGCAACTTCAATTAGACTAATTCATCCTGACAGCGACTGCAGTGGGTAGAGCTTACTTGTTTTAACTTGTAACTCAATGTAGTGCCTATGTATTATGCATCAAGAAAACATCCTAAATGAAGTATGGATAAATTAACCTATAGACAGCACTTCTCAATAACGCTTTTTTTTCACGTCTCCCGCTCTTTGCAGGAAGAAGGCGTGAAGGTGTTTGTGCTCCTATATAAGGAAGTTGAAATGGCGCTCAACATCAACAGCCTTTACAGCAAGCAGAAGCTGGTGGCCATGCATCCCAACATCAAGGTATGTGGTTTGATGAAGTAGACGCATACGTCCCGCCACCCATGCAGAATTGTTTGCAAAAGCTTTTACAGTAATCGTTAGATGGTTTGTGCCAACTGCATGGCTCAGCACTTTTTTCCTTCGGTTATTTCCTGCGTTGGCCACCTGCTTGACGAATGTCTCTGGCGGCTCTCACTGCAGGTCCTGAGGCACCCAGATCATGTGACCGGTGGCATTCTCCTATGGGCTCACCATGAGAAGTTGGTAGTCGTCGACCAGAAGTTCGCCTTCCTGGGAGGGTTGGACCTGTGCTACGGACGCTGGGATGACTTCAACCACAGGTATGTCTAGGACACTATTGCTCTATACGTTTCAAAGAGTAGTTCCAGCCCCCCTTGCTGGTGAAGGCGCCGCATTCAGGGTTTTGGCGTCCACACTCAGCATTCAGTGCGGTGCATATAGGTGATAGATCCCGTCGTCTTGCGGCGTGCGTTGGCAGTGGCGATATCAATGGGCTTGTTGCCGACCTTCGTATGTAAGTCATTCCTATAGGCGTGCGCAGCGTTTCTAAAAGGGGGCCTAGTTTCTCCGCAGGCTTAGCCGCTCTATCGGTCGAGCCCGAAAAGACCGCCTCGGTGCGGTAGACAAAAAAAAACTGAAGATATGATGTGCCTTTAATTACTCGCTTTCTGGTCGTTAAATGGAAACAGTTCTTGAAATACATCTTCGGTCGCTATTACTGACAAGACACTGCATAACAAAAGCTCTGCATTTCAATAGCGCGAAATCTTTGTGCGCTACAGGGAAAATGAAGGCGACGCAGATAGAACGGCACGAAACAACACAACCTTAAACTACTTTTTTTAAAGAATTACGACAAAATATATACAGGGACAAATAAAGGCAACACACAAACAGAACAAAAAATCAAAGGGTGCCAAGCCTGAGAGGACTGCGGAACTGAGCAGCCTTTGTTTATTTTCGGTTTTCCTTTTCTTTCCTGCTTCCTTTCTTACCTTTCTCGTCCATTTTCGCCGTCTTTTTTTTCTCGTTATTTCTATTTGTTTCTTTCACTTGTCTTTATCTAGTACTCATTGTACAGGCAGTACTCTCCTGTAGAGCTCTAATGAAAACTTGATGTAGTAGGAGATGTAACAATGTGAAATCATCTACATTTATACATCATTTAAACACATGGTTCATTTGGGCTTCATTCGCTGATACCTTAATATGGCGGAAGGTTGTATACCTTATAGTCTCTCACTCTCTCTCCCTCACAGGCTCACAGATGTAGGTGGAATTCAAATGCAGAGGCAGATCTCCAAGTCGGAGCAGCCGGAAGTCAACACATCTATGAACGAGGTAAATCGTCTTGCATGCCATAGCCTCTTCAATAATATCAATTAACACGTCTCGAGCTTTTGGTTGTTCATGGTCACAATATGGATACAATACATCCTACCGAGCGGCTGTGGCGCTCATCACAAAGGTTGACACAATGAAGACGAAAGAGTTGTTGGCACTGGCCTTCCGTCACCATACGGGAAGTGTTTGGTCCGCCATAAAGATATTCAAAGGACTTCTTGCTTGTTTTCGTTCTCGTGGTTGCGTAGCGCGATCTTGTCTATCCAATGCCATGCACTGTCGGCTTATTGATTTCGTTCTTCTAATTTAGTTACTTTAAGGTATCTTTTTTTTTGCTTCTTTGTATTATGCGACAGGTGGCCAACAGACTTCTCGCGTCACACCGGTTACGAAGGCAGCAATCTGGTGGAGATGGTGCGCTCAACGAAGGATACGGGGCAATCGATGCCGGTAAGAGTCGTATATCTTTACGTGTCTCTGGGATTTTTTTGAGGCGAAGCTCCTTTAGAGGTGGGTCGGTCGTCACCTGAAAGCTGTATGTATGCATCTATGTAGTAAACACCTCACAGCATATCCACAGAGTGAATGATGATGAGAGGGGCGAAACTTCGAAGAGCTTTATCGGCAAACCATGAGTCATCCGCTGACTGCGTCTGTCCATCGTGTGTCTGTGTCTGTTTGATGGACCGACGAACGCAGGGATGGACGCAGGGACTGACGCAGAGAAGAACCTACAGGCAGGTGGACTAACTCACAGACGAACTCACGAATGGACGGATGCACGCACAGACGGACGGTCGCACAAACAGACGGATACACATATGAACGGAAGCAAGAACAAACGGACGGACGGAAGCACGGATGGACTGATGGACGCTTCGCCCCACTCATCATCATTCACTCCGTCAATATGCTGTGATCTTTTTTATTTTATTTCATGTTTTCCAATTTAAGGTCTTCGTTTTCATGACAAATTCCAAGAAAAGTACCAGAGCTAACCGTGCATGATCTTGAGCCCCTTCATGATTGCTTTTGTACACTAAGTGTACTGTTTCACATGACATGCGTCTCTTGCAGTGTAAATGATCCACAGTGTCAAGAAGCGCAAGAAACCCTGTCGAGCTAGGACTAATAATGAAAGAGGAGAACATCAAGAACAGCGCTTCGGTGCCCAAGAAAGGCAGGGATAAATCTGTGACTTTCCCATCTCTGGTCGTTTATAAATGTCTCCATGTACCTTAGCTGGGTGCCCACAACGTGCTCAGTGGCTCTTCAGTTACGACTTGCTTTTCCTTTATCCAATGCAACAGAGAAACAGTGCACAAAAGTATCGAAACATTGAATTTCGAAGAACAGGCTTACATAGTCCTCCATTGCGAAATTGATTAAACTCGTCTGTCAGTTTGCAACACTGTTTTACTGCGCCACATGGCCGGTGCTGTTGAAGAAGACACATAACTAGAGCCTACTGGTCATTTTCTGCAAATGTCTACAGCATGCACTGAATTGTTTCAAGAAGTCACACTTGTCACCAGAGTGACAGCTTAGTGGCTCAAGGATTGCACTGTCGACCAAGTGGGTGCGGATACGATTCCCTTAAACGGCAGCCACCTTTCACTGTGAGTAGAACGCAAAAAAACACACATGCACTTACATTTACACTTGGTTTAATAAATTTCCCAGGTAGTCAACAACAATGTAGAGTCCCGATCTATGCTGTGCATCATAATCAATTTGTGTTTGATGCGCGAAACCTTGTTAGTGTGAAAGCGTTTGTCCTATCGTTTTTTTTTTATGTGTTCCTCTGCTGTGCGCTCCATTAAGTTACACCACGTCGAACATCCTGCTTCAAAAGGGTGCTTGTTTGGGCACTTTTGTATATATTCGTGGCTACTTCATTGCGCGACGCTGAGAAGACGAGGACGAAACTGCGCTTGTGCACTTGCGTTTCTGTCTGTTCAGTGGCGGCGCATTTCAATGGAGATGAAATGCTTCACGCCCATGTACTCAGATTTAGGTGCATGTTAACAAATACCAGGTGGCCGAAATTTCGCAATTTCTGCACCACGACGTCCTTCTTAATAATATCGTGGCTTCAAGACGTGAATCCCCAACCGTGATCACCTAATCAGTTCTCTCTTCGTCTGTTAGTTTGCGTGTAATAACGCAGCTCCTGATTTAGTTGTAAAGACGTTCTCGATTACCTCCGATGCGCATTTTCTTCTCCTTGCAAAGCTGATGGAGGTGGCGATGTGACACCGCCAGCTGGCGCCACGGACACTGATGCCAGGAACCGAGGCAGGCGCTCCCTGGCGGGCGGCAGGCTCTCCACGGGTGCAGCCGCCAGTGGTGGCGCCGTCTACGTCGACCAAGAAGAGGGCAGGGTGGTCGTCGGTGATGATGGCTCATCTAGGATAGCGTCCAACCTGATGCGCGCCCGTCGTGTCTTCCGAGCCGTCACGGTGAGTCTCCGTGGGCTCGTCAATTTAGCTTCTGCGTACGTGGTAGGGTGGGACATTATTTACTCTTTTTTTTTAATTTAAGTATACTTTTGCACTCTGATATTAGATATCAATACTGATTCGCTTGTGTTGCAGGTATGCATTAGGGCGCTTTGCGTAATAGTAATGTAAATCCAAATAAGGCAGGACAAATGAATACAGAAGCTTAGAAATCTTTAGACGGACAGGTTGAGAAATCTTCCGGCAGCGAATGATGTTTGAGCAGAGTTTTAACTGGTGGCTTTGTCTTCTTGCTACCTTGAACAATAAAAGACGATTTATGCAAACTTTGCCTTCATAAACTACTGCTTTCCGATTGTCAATTATAATAGCATTATTGGGCTCGCTTAAAGCATCCCAGAGGATATGAGGTAGGCAGCGAATGCAATAATTGATCCGAGTGACGCCCCGCAGTGGTGGTCTAGCGGCTAAGGTACTCGGCCGCTAACCCGCAGGTCGCGGGATCAAGTGCTGGCTGCGGCAGCTGCATTTTATATGGAGGCGAAAATGCGAAGGCCCATGTGCTCATATTTGAGGGCCCGTTAAAGAACCCCAGGTGGTCGAAATTTCCGAAGCCCTCCACTACGGCTTCTCTCATAATCATATAGTGGTTTTGGGACGTTAAACTTCACATATCAGTCAATCAATCAGCCAAGTGACATATTCACCTTTTCTTCCTAAGCGTTGTCTTAGGTGGCTGAAAAAATAGGGAGTTGAGCCACTGCAATCATTTGCTGTATAGTCTTTTTTTTTATTTGGAGAATATTTTAAACGAGCTGTTTTAAGCAAAGCACATCAATCGTGGTCAAATGGTCCTACAGACTCAGCCTATGCCAGCTTTTGTTTTGTGAAGTAACATATACCAGCTCACAGCGTTTGTACCCAACTGTCAAAATTTTTTCAGGGCTCTTTTGAAAGAGGTCGTTCAAAAAATTACTTACTGTGCCTTATATGAAAGGCATGTTTACCCTGAAGGTCTCGGAAAACTTACTCGTCAGACGTTCAGAGTTCAAACTGCACCTATTTTTCTCTTGGAGGGTTACCATGAAAATTTTAAAAATAAGTGATGTATAGGTGCGTTATACGAAACGTTAAATGCAATCATAACAAGTGTTAGCCATTAGTTGTTCAGAGCAAGTTGTGCCTATTTGAATAGCGTTGTTTGGTGTGAATTTGTCATACGCCTGTGAAGTCGTCCTTGGTCGTGTAAAGGTAAGTAATAAGAGATGGGGGACGGGGTGGCGGGGGCTTTCCCTTTTGTGTTATGTTAGCCAGTACCAATGTTGCAATTAACTAGCATGACTAATTAACCCCTGCTACGTAAACTAACAGCTCCACTATGGACAAAGATCACGCAGAGCTTTGTGGCCACCCGTCCAACTGGCGTTTCTTTAAACTGTTTGCATGTCATCTGCCTTATTTGCTTGGATTGTGTGAGTCTTTCATTAAGGTAGGGGACGGAGTTTGAAGTGATTTGCAGACAGTTTGCGCTGCTCTCTAAGCAATTTGTGAACTGAGTATAGCTTTATTTATTCAATTGGACAAGTAACGAAACCTTTGTGTCAACTATAAATCTTCATGATGTGCCCGCAGTGTTTGCAGGTTCCATCCCAATATGCCTTTCATATCGTAGTTTCTCATGCCTGGCAACAATATCTTGATCCTGTTGCGTCACTTCAGGGGTGGTCATAGAGGTCTGGCTGATCTGAGGTACAAGCCATTAGCAGGTGAAAGGTGAATGAGACGAATATGCCTATTAGAAATGTTTTGGCAGAACAGCATGGTTAAGGTATGCAAAGAGAGATGTTTTGCGAATGTGCGAGTGAAAGCTACCACAGCCTGCCACCAAAAGAAGACAGGTTTATGTGAACATAGAGATTGAAGTAGGGAGAAGTTGTCAAATAATCATAGGGACAGCTTTCATTCCGCGTGTAGTTGAATTCTATCAAAAATAGGGCGCGGCTGACACAAAATCAAATGGATTTGGTATATATTAAACTCATTTTAAATGCATGTTCTCAAGTTGTCAATATATTATTCTTGTTTATTTTGTTGAAACCAATAAGACGCTGTGTTTGTATCAGCGTCTTGAGTTCGACTTGTTGGGGCGTTTGGAATTCAACAACAAAACAGCGTTAGAATGAGATAAAGACGAGAGGACACAACCAGGTCGTTAAATAAGAAACATATCTTGCTGCGTTTGCATATATATGCACAGTAAAAAAAAAACAACCGGGGTAGCATGCCATAATATTTTCTGTTCCCTGATATGTACACTGATCTTTTCTTTTCGGGTATATATGGGCGTGCAAGCAAAATAAAATGTGGTCGCTAGCGTCGTGTTTGTTCTGACGTCTTCGTGAGTGTTCTAGGGCTGCTCTATCGTTCAAATTCAGTTATGTTGATATTTTGTGTATTGAGATTTAGGCGTACTCATTTCTTTAACAGTGCCTCCCATGAATGAATGATAGGCTGTTTCAAGGCTCGCTGCTTTTGATTTAATCTTCGAGTTCACGTTTCGTTTGCACATGGCTGTACATCAACCAGGCGATGGGCGTTGTTGCTTTTTTCTTGTTTCCTTCTTTCTAATGCGAGGTTTGACACGTGCAGTCGCCTCCTCATAACGTGGCCCATATTTTTCTGTTTGTGTGTTTGGCATACGTGTTGGCCATGTCGATGCATACTCACCCCAAGCCGGTATTTTTTTGGGCTGTGCCACGCTGACGCAGGCATGCCAGAAGCTAAAGAAGCAACAACAAACGGAGGTACGAACTATTCTGGGTTAACTGCACGAAACCGCCATGGCGCACAGTGCACACCCCTTCTGCTTCTCCACCAACTGCAGCATTGCTTTGCCCGCAAGCCTCTGTTCCTTTTTTCACAACCCGTTTGCCACAGATGCTGCATGACTTTATCTATCTTCGCATGGTGTTGCCACAACTGCCTTTTCCACCCTGGTTGCATCAAATCACTTGCGCTCTAGTAAATCAAGCTTTGATGAGAAGGATGCGAGATTTCGAAGTTGAAATCAGCAACACAGCCCGGATATTCGCACACCGTTCATTTGTAACAAATGTTCGACGATATTTGTGCTTAGAAAAAGTGTTTAAGAATTTAGAGGACCAGGTGCTGTACTACAGGAAAGCAAACGGTTGTCCCGGACCCCCATGTCATGAAACGACTGACGAACGACGTGGGTTCAGAAAAAGTTTCTAACGATATATAGAATACTTGGTATTCTATTATGGGAGAGCGAAAAGCCGTCCCGTGAACCTCAGATGTGTGGTTAGAAAAAACTAGTTAAACAATTTAGAGTACGATTTAGAGTACTTGGTACTCTACTACGGGAGAGCATGAACCCGTTCCGTGGGCTTCACACTTGATGTGGCCCTGTTCCAGCAAACGTATGTTTTTAGAACCACCGACGTCGTTAATGGTATTATCGTTCAGCGCATGCAGGCATTTGGTACAAAGTTCAGAACACTTTGTATTCCACGTATAACCGTCATAATGTCAGGTACGATGGTGTGCGTCTGCTTATAGCCCACAGCAGTGGCCTTTCTCTGGGGTCTAAATACGAAAGCAAGCGCTGAGTAGAGGTTAATGCACAACTATGAGTTTCCGATGGTTAAACTAACCCTGCCTCTTCGCTGCGACGTGACCCTTCATGATAATGTGATTTTGTTACGTGAGAAATTGTCATCCGAAAAGGTACGTTACGAATGCTCATTCACCGTAGCCCAATACAATACTTTGATGCTTGTCAGTGTATGGCTTTTATTGGCTAAGATATTGTTCCTTTATTGCATTTTCGTGGAGAGGTGAAAGTTGTGCCGTTTTATTTGGTTTTCCACTTGACATCGACAACTACTTCTGTTTGTAGGTTGTCACCGTGATCTCCGTAGATGAATAACTAACTAATCCTGATGACTGGGCTCTCTTTAGAAGTCGTATGGTCTCATTATTTTTCAAGTACCTTCACACTATAGTTCATCAGTTCTCTTTGGTTTCATTTAGAGTTCTAAAAGTTCACATGATTGAACACAATGTTTCCTTTTAAGGTCACTGGCATTTTCTCAGTGACAATATCTGGGCAGTTCAAGCTGGACATACGTTATCTTACAACTGAATTCGGCACAAATATCAAGGCTACACAATCGAACTAAGATCTTGAAGTCAGCAACAATACAATACCCATCTCAAGTGCTTGTTCTTGAAGGTCGACTGACACGTGGGCTTGGCCACGGAAGCTCTAGCCTTTAACTTTCAAAAGTCATTGCTTCCGGGTTGACTGAGTGACATTAAAACTCCTCCTAATGCTGAGTGGTGAAAATATGTCATTCAGTGTTATTAAATGGACAAAAATATGGTGCACTATCTACTGCGCTTCAAATTAAACCGTAAGTGTACCCAAACAACTATAAAAGGCGACGACATATCATGACAGATACGTAGTTCTGCAGACTGCCTGCTCCAGAAGGAGAATTGAAACCGGGTACACGTTGCAAACGCCATATTTTTGAACACCCTTTAGTACTACTAGCAGCTCCGTCGTTGCATCATTCTTTGCACGGAAAAAAAGCCCAATGGGATCAGTTTCCTCGTTCAGCCCCGGGTAATAATCACGGGACTGTAATACTGGTAAGGGATATTACACAAAGACACACAGCTGAAAATTTATCAAACGGCACAAGTATGGAAGCTTGCGTGAGTTGGCATGCATTCATCCTAGTTGATACAGCGCACACAATACGACGACGATTAATAAAAAAAATCACAGCATATTTAGGAGGTGAATGATGACGAGTGGGACGAAGCCCGGACGGATGCATGGACGGACGAGCGCATGGACGCATGAACGGAAGAATTTGCGGACTGATGGATGGACGCCCAAGTGGGTAAACTGATGCATGAATGGACTGAAGAACGCTTTGCCCCACTCATCATCATTAACTCTGTGGATATGCTGTGACACCATTTTTATTGACATGCAATGCAATGAACTGCCTACTTCGACGACATGGAACATACGACCCACGGCGTAAGGAGCTTCCCCCCTCAAAAACAGCACAATCACTGACCTGTGTTTAGCGATTGTCCTGCGTTTTAAATGCGAAGCACTTCTTAGCAAACTTCGGTGACTTCGAGCGTATCTATCTATCTATCTATCTATCTATCTATCTATCTATCTATCTATCTATCTATCTATCTATCTATCTATCTATCTATCTATCTATCTATCTGTCTATCTATCTATCTATCTATCTATCTATCTATCTATCTATCTATCTATCTATCTATCTATCTATCTATCTATCTATCTATCTATCTATCTATCTATCTATCTATCTATCTATCTATCTATCTATCTATCTATCTATCTATCTATCTATCTATCTATCTATCTATCTATCTATCTATCTATCTATCTATCTAGCCGCCTACGACTTTTAGCTCTCCTGGCCGTTTCGATAACGGTATCCATACCAAACTTGGTATGGCATAACATGACTGTATGATGAACATATTTTACTAGTCATAACATGAAAATCATGACAAGTATGTCATAAATGTCATGATTTACATTCCATGTTCTTGCAGCTCTTGCGGTGGTTTCGTTCACATGACATGTTGCAAAAGTGGTATGGCATCGTATGATTGCATGGCGAACACAAGCGACAGACCCTAACATGAAAATCTTTATATGCGTGTCATGTAGCAACATGACTACATGCCACGCGCATGATGCGCTCGCGGGCATTTCGCTAGCGTCACATATACTAAATTTGGTATTACAGTACGCGAATAGTGGACGAATGTATGTGCCAGGTGCAAACATGATAATCATGAGATGCGTGTCATATAACACATGACTACATGCCACGCTCATGATGCGCTGACGGCCGTTTCACTAGCTTCACATGTACCAAACTCGCTATTAGCGATGCTAACGGACGACATAGGTAAATGACACATCCAAACATGATAATCATGACATGCGTGTCATGTAACATCACTACATGCCACATTGATGATGCGCTCGCGGCCATTTCGCTATAGCTTCACATATACCGAATTGGGTATTATGTGACGCCAATTGATGATGAAGGTATGTGACGGGTGCAAACATGATAATCATGAGATGCGTGTCATGTCAGAACATGACTACATGCCACAGTCAAGGCGCCAATACATTTTGACGTGACGCAGTGCGCGTGCTTGCTGGCGTTCGTTTCATTTTTCATTTTCATTTATTTATACTGTTAGCCCAGAAGTGGGCCGTTACAGGGTGGAAGTACAAACAATTATTCGCGAAAAAGAAGTACCGTACAGGTCTCGAGATAATTTCTCGGTATTATTGTGAGCAGCAACTCGAAGTTATACAGAACAAGAAATGGAACACACATGCAACGCAATACATACGCGCAGAACAGCACATGACGCATTTGAGACGGCACTTTTGCACCGCGCTGAAGATTTGAAAGACAACTACTGCAGTGTCATGCAACCAACAAAAAGTACAGACGCACATCACTGTTATTAAGGAAATAAACGTTTGAGATTCTGTTCAAATGATGTAAGCGAGGAACAACCAATTATAGACTCTGGCAGCATATTCCAATCTTCAATAGCACGTGGAAAGTAACTAAACTTAAAGCAATCGTTACGTGGGACAAGGGGTGGTATGTACATATTATGGCGATGTCTGGAGTGTTCTTGTGTGTTGACCTGGAAGTAATCTGAATAGTTTAGTTTAAAATGATTATGAATTAACTGGTAGAGGAATTTCAGACGCTCAATCCTCGTCCTAAGTTCAGGACTATCCAGTCCAGCTTTTTTGCAAAGTTCAGTAGGTGAATGATGTCGGCGATATTTATTAAAAATAAATCTCGCACCAAGTCGCTGTATTTTTGCTATTTTATTGCAGTTTGTCTTTGTGTAAGGGTCCCAGACAATTTTAGAATATTCGATAACAGGTCTGACAAGGGTTTTGTAAGCAAGACACTTTATATCAGATGGGGCGGTATAAAGGTTACGTCTAAGGCTATACAGTGCCTTTGTAGCTCTGGAGCATACATTATCAATATGAGTGTTCCACCGGAGGTCGGGCGTGAACCATAACCCAAGATATTTATAGTTTTGTACACGCTTAAGGAAAGCATTGCCAATCTGGTAGTTGTAATCTAGAGGTGCTTTCTTTCTAGTTATAGTCATAAAGACTGTTTTTTCTGTGTTCAAACTCATTTGCCATTCTTCGCACCAATCCTTTATTCTTTGAAGATTATTGTTTAGATTAACTTGGTCATGTTCAGTATCGATTCTGCTATAAGCAACACAGTCATCGGCAAACAACCTTATCGGGACCGCAACCCGGTTTGGTTTCGTCGCGTCACGCCGGCGTTGCCACGCCAGGCGCCAATCCTGCGATACATATAGTTTCCTAAATTTTAATAGAGGGGACTCTGTCACTGCGACAGTCCAGCGACCATGGGAATGATGGGTAGTACACACATTTGCCTAGTCTTCGTACTTGCGGGTGGCGAATCGTACTTGCGGCTTCGGTATTTCTCTGTTTCGGTTTTGTTTCAAAGAAAAAAACGAACCATTATGAACATCGTGACCTGATCTGGAAAGGTAAGTCCAAAAGAATAAAGGTGGTGAAGCGAAACCGCTGAATATTCTCAGATTTTTGTTTCGTGAAAAAACAGCTCCAAGCCACACGATCACACACGGAGCTAAAAGCAGGCATAAGTACGAAGATTAT